ACTGTACTGGAATGATGGGACATTACATCCACATCATTCTGATTCATTGCCATTACCATAATGGGCCCCACAAGGTTTGATTTTAGAATCTTTTCTCTTTCTGCTAAATGTAAATGATATGCCCCCGAGCATTCAAAATGGAAGAACAGTTCTCTTTGTGGCTGATTCGAATATTCTTTTCAATAAAGAAACCATAATTAGTACAATATCAGATGTTTCAAATTGGTTCTGTAATAATAAATTAATAGTAAAGGAAGGAAAAACAGTTTCAATGCAGTTTTCCATTTCAAATAAACAACTGCATACTGTATTGAAAACAATGTGCAATTGGCCATTTTTAAAGTTATAAAACTTTTTGTCTCTCAATTCAGTCAAACCTCAAATGGAATGTCCATTTAAATGAATTGAACACAAAATTAAGTCATTATGCTAAATGTTCAGAATGCTTTCAAATTCTGTCATCCTCCATACTGCTCATTATGTACATTTTGTGAATGTTTATTCCGGCTTGACATGGCATAATATTCTGAGGAAACACATTGTACAGCTCCCAGATGTGTAAATTACAGAAAAGAATTGTATGAATAATAAGCAAATCCTATCCATGTGATTCTTGAAAGCGTCTCTTTATTAAGCTAGGAATACTATCATTACCATGCCTCTTGATTTACTAATCAGTGATTTTTGCCCAAAATTATTTATTCAAGGATGGGAACATATTTTCAGCTACGTCTACAACTATAACTCTTGCCATAGTAATCATTTTCATCAGGCCTCAGTATCAACAGCCCATTTAAAAAAAATGATCTTACAATAGATGTACATTATTTTGCAACTTATTGCTAGACGACATTATATGTATAAATTCGATAAACAAATTTAAGGACCAAATAAAATCTTTTCTTCTTCATAACTGTTTCTATACAATTAGAGACTATACTGAGCACCAAAAAGGAAAGTAAAATTAATTTTAACAACAGTTTTGAATGTAATAATGACCATTTGAAGTGTACGAATGTTATACCTCAACTTCTGGGTCAATGAACCTCAACTCAGTCAGGTTTTTGTCCAGTTTCCCTGAGCAAATGCTGAGATGGCCCCTTGTTTTGCTTCTGAACATGAATATATCTTCACTATCTGTGCATGTCTTTTAGAGTTCACTGGGTAACATAGTTATTCAAATTATTAAATTCCACATTCTTACAGCAGGAAGTTCTCTAAGATTCCTTCACAAAGGGCATGAAGAGGGATAATAAACAAAATGTATAGCTAATTTGCTATTGCATATAGTTTTTATTGCAATGGAGCGAATTTTTCTTATCACATCTTCCAAAAATGCTCATTTCATCTCTATTTAGAATTCAACTTGTATACGGATTAGAGTATTGATTCCAGAATTTCAGAAAACATGCACAGAATATACTTCCCCTATAGCACAAACACACAATATTTAACAGATTTTTGATGTTTAATAAACAAATACATTGGTGGAACTGTTCTGAAGTTTACTATCTTTGAGGGAAAAGTGGAGAAATATTTGTTGTAATGATAGTATTATTTTTTATCCTTGCTGTTTCTTTTCTAATGAGTGAGTTAATAGTTACTGTGTAATTGGTATCAATTTAGAATGGTTTTGTGATGTTCTTTTGCGAATATTCTTAAACATTATCAACTTGTCAAAACTGTATTTCTGTGGAAGGAAAAAGTAAATTTCAGCAGAAAGATCTCAATATTATATGTTTGATCTATCAGAAATTTCACTAATACAATGGGTAAGGAATAGGAAATGCATTAAGTGAAGGAGAAATGTTGATAAAGCATAAAGGAAAAAATACATTTCTTCAGAATTTGAAAAGAAAAAACTGTGCTGTAGAATTTTAAACAGCCAGTAACAAAAAGGAACATTTATTCTTACTCTTATAACATATTTACACTTTTTTCCAAAATGAACTCTATGCAGAGATAACTTTTAAAAAAATGGATCACATTTAATCTACATTACTTTATACATAACTGCAATATTAAACATAACAGTGTTTTATATATTACAAAAGAAAAAGCCAATTTAGTAAGTGAATGCAGTCTACAAGTTGACTAAAGATATGTCTGGATCACACTAAATTGATAATTTAAGCCAAACAGTGATTCAGTTGGTTGTATGTACATTCAACACCAGAAAGCTGGGCAGAGAGGTTGGAATGGGTATCACTGTGACAGAGGCAAAACATATCCAAAGATTGTTGAAATTGTGCTGGAAGCAACATTTCTGAACTTAAAATTTAATAGACATGTACATTTTTTTCAGAAAACCCATTTACATACAATGTTTTATATACTGCACTCTTATTACAAAAGTTATTTAGTCCCAATTTTCCAATCAAATATCTTACATTCTATAGTACAGAATAGTATAATATTTCAAATTTTTACACAAGATACTGCAATTTATTGCATGTAGAAAATGATGGTGGAAAGAAGAGGCATGAATTATTCAGTGATACATAGTACAGTACAGTTCTTTGACTACTTAATGAATAATTCATTTCATATCACACTGAATTGCAGTGATACTAGAATATCTGCATAGTCATACTCTGACACTTAGCATTCACTTTATTTGATCAGTATAGATCTCAGTTCATCATCACTTTGGAAAATTTTGTGAAGTTGAATAATAAATTATAATATTGCGTACTACTTCAGTAAACCTTAAATGAATCTGTCAGTGCCGAATTAATTCCTCTCTGTCCAACACTATAAATAGTTTTATCTTTTCAAGACAGTTGCAATACTCATGTGTTCTCTTGGAAAATAGTTTTCCTTTTCACATAGTATTTGCTTTGGTATACTTTCTAAGACTTTCCAACATAACAGTCTTAACATGCATGGTAGAGTAATTGAGTTGCACATCAGCTTCTAACTATATAAAAATTATTTAAGAATACTATTGATTAAATTAATCAAATTTCTTGTGGTTGTGAATATAGTATCTTTCAAAATGTGATGTAAATGAATCAAAAGTATTGAATTTTACTATTGATTTTTACCATGCATATTTAGACACACAACAAGAACCTGATCCCTCCTATACATTTCTCTTTACTTTGAGTTGATTACTTCTTAACTATTATTTAAAACAAACTTTGACTTGTGAAGTTGTCTATCTTCAAAGAATCAAATTACTTCTGTCAAATTTCACTCTATTATCTACATGTACCATAACTCTGTAACTAGAGATTTAGATATAAAAAATTAATAATTGGACAAATGAAAGGAAGTCTGGTGATTATCCAAGTGCATTATGTGATATAGAAAAATCAAACAATTTATAACTACTTATTGGAAAAGCATTATCAGTTTTCAGCTGGGCTTTAATTCCCTTATTGATGTTGTCCAAAGTGTGGCTCTGAGATCATTGTTGAAACAAATATTTTAGAGCAAACTTGCGTGAATCCAAGCTTTCTGAGAACTACTGAAATAGATGGTCAACGAAAACATAACAATGGTTATTAAAGCACATGTTAAAATGATAATGAGAATATGAGAAAGCCAGGGAAAATTGTTTGCTTGATGATTGGCATAAGTTAGAATATAGTAGTTATCTATTTAAGAATTCAATGAGTAATGCTTAGGGACATGGATTTTCTTGTGCAAAATCTGATATAAGCTGAAACATTTGAATCTTTTAATTTTGTAATCTCAGTCTTCTAAAATTACTTACCAAGTGCTAAATCACAGCACCTGTTTTGAATTTTAGCCAAGACTGTGGACAACATTTGCAATCAACACAATATGTTAATATACAATTCAACTGTATTCCATGGATAACAGAATTGTGTTAAAATTTCAAATAGTAATGTTTTGCACATACTTTGATACAACTGTTTTGTGAAAGAAAGAATGCAGGATCTGAATATTCTAATCACAAGTAGTTTTCAGTTTTGAAAAATCCAGAAATCCATTTCACCTGAGAAAGTGTCTAATATCTTCTCATCACAGGCCACTAAATGGTATACAAAAACAATTCTTCTTCAATGATTATTTTCAATAATTTCGTATACTTCAGTTCATCTTCTGTGATAAGAGTTTTAAGTAACATTTGGTTTTATTTTTGGCGAATCGACTAGTACTGATTCACGTACTACATGTAAAAAATAACTTTATAGTCTCTTGAGTTAATCACTGCTATTATTTCTTTGAGTTTGGTACTGTTTAATAGCAGTTCTAAAAAAATATTTTAGGCATCAAATCTGAGACCATTATATGTGCTCACAGTTTTATGCATAGTGTCATTGTTTTCACCATTCTTGACAACTTGAAGTCCCAAGTCCCATTCCGGAAAGAAAAAAGATGTTTCAAAAAATGCAGCAGACATTCTATGTAATAAACTCTATGAATACTGTACTACCAAACTGAAACTATTGTAGTTAATATTCATATTGAAAAACAAAACATTTTTCTCCATCTTGACATAAATACCTACATTGTAGATGCATCTTGTGCACACAAGCAACAGGATTGAAACAAATCTGACAAGAAGCCACATATTACCAAGCTGTATCATGAGATGGTCTGCAGATATCCTCATCAGAATGTACTGATAAATAAAATGTGTCAAGACACTTATATTGTGACAATTTTACACAAAATGTTCATGATGTAGGTAAGTTAAAGTGTCACAGAGTAATAAAACTTAAGCAGTAAAATTTTTAAGACAAGTAACATAGGTAGATAGAGAGATGAAAATCAAATATATATATATATATATATATA